GCAAATTTTGTACTCAAAGGTGCATACACCAATTGAAGGGCATGTTTTTAAAATGTGTATTTGTTGAACTAAAACTCTTGAAAGCCATGCATTATTTTCTTAAATGTCACTTAAATTACTATTTAAGTGAATGGCATTGGAACTGTGGTTGTAATCTGACAAAGGCTGAAAATATATAAGAGTTACAAACACTTTTGAAATGCCTTGTAGATTAAAAAACAACAACAAATGAAGCTCTAGCGGAAGTTCAATTGAAGAAACTCTGGCTTACCTCCATCCAATCAGAAGCTGATCCGTCTCCGAACCGAGCCAATCAGCTTTGAACTACTCCACCACTAAGCCCAACCAGCGTCCTGCTTTCACTTTATAAACTCCTTCAAATCCTCATCCCAGCCCGCTATCCTGCAATCGCAATGTCGGATTTCGATTCAGACAACAATTCACCCACCTCCATCCCCTTCTCTGCCATCGCAGCTGAATCGTCCTCCATGACATGACTTCATCTCAACCTCATCAGAGAGTATTAATCCCAGTTGTCACCATCCCTCGTCTCATTGCATTGGTCCGGCAGAAGACCACCATGTTGAGCCCGGTTCTGCCAGAGGTTTCTTCCCAAGGGGGAGTTTTTCCTCTCCACAGTCGCTTCATGCTTGCTCATCATGGACAGTTCACGGTACCTGCATCACCAAGCAGGACCTCTATATCCCGAGTCTCTGAGTGAAGCCCCGGCGTCAGCTCCCTCAGTCTTCTAGTCCCACAATTCTGCTCAGCAGATCACCTTGTCAACCAGCTCGGATTAAACCACCACCAGTTTCAGGCCGGGGGGAACATCCCTATTCTCATTCATCTACTCATGCATGTTAAAGCATAATTCAGCATGAATGTTCCTGCCGAGGTCTGAGCGCCAAAGACTATACTTTCTTATCAATAAAATTCTTCTAATTATCTTTTCTCTCTGTGTGAGTTTTTTAGATTGAAATAATACATGTAACCACTAAAAGGAAAAACATGAAGCAATAGCAAAAATATTGTCAAAAGTGAAGGTTTTACCTTTTATTTGTTTATTGGCTTAGAATCAAAGGGACATATTCATTGTTAATAAAACTTTAATCAGTCATTTTTTTGGCAATTACAGACATAAAGTCCATACAGAGTTAAGGCTGAAGTCTACATTTATTTATGACTTACTGTTAATGTGTTGGCCTCAGTCCCTGTATAAAGTAGGTGATGAGAGTTAGCATTTAATAAAATGTCCTGACTTTGTCTGCAGGACGATGGAACCTCAGTGATGAATAAAAGCACTGGTGATTAAATTTAATGGAGAAGCTGGCCAGCAGCCTGGTTTTTATCATCCCGGTTGTCAACATCTTCATCACTGCCCTGGGAGTTTATCAACCAAACCACAGCAACTTACCAAGAATACAGAAATGTTTTTCTGGTGACATCTTTTATCTACTTTTCTGTTGAATCTCTTTGCTTATTTCATTTCTTGTATCAATATAGACTGTTTGGTTTTGGTCTTCTGGATCTCTGAACTTACTCCACACAATCTACCTGACCTAAATACATGCTGACCACTCCAGTCTGCTGTGGAAGTTTCCACCAACAAAATAAAACAAAATCCACCCCCTGGTTGTTTACCAGACAACCATTGTCCTTTCACTGCTGCAGGCAGAGCGAACCAGAGAGAAACAGCCGTGGTGCCAAAGGTGGTCTGGTGCATCAACAACATATTTTGTTACTGGTGGACAAACAGAAGTGGACAGTTAGGCGCATGTGACTGTGTTCTGTCTGTCTCCACAGCTGTCCTACCATGACCCAAACATTCTAGATGGATTCACTGAAAAACCCAAACTTTATCCATTTGGATCAGGGAGTCTGATGAAGCTGCTTGATAAATGTATATGTGCAGGATCTGTCTGATCTAAATCAAAGTTCTTACTCAGCAAAATCTTATGTTTTCTTTTTTTTTCTCATCTTCATTTAGCTAAACAATAAATTATTAGAAATGTTCAGCTTCACACAGAATCCAACTGCAATGAGCAAAGATGGAGGGTGTGTGGTTCTCTAGCTCGGCGGCAGCTGGTGAGGCAGAGTCAATACGACTGAGACCCCAACAGAGCTACCTGAAAGAAAAGGCTTTAATTGGACTGTTTCATCTGAGTCAACTAAACCAAAACAAGTCATCGAGCCAGTGCCTGTTTCATTGACTCCATTGGCTAAAACTAAAAGAATAAATAAATAAATGTCCCATTTTTAATCACATAATAGTTATTTTAGGTTAGGAATTATAATGCATTTAATATAATGAATTTCATGTTATCTTTGTGAATTCAAACTATACATTTTTCGAAGAGTATGTAACAAAAAAATAATTATTAAAAGATTAGAATAAAATACTAACACTTTTAAAGTGTCATTTTT